TAGTCCCTGTGATATCTCACTAAGGACCTGCCCACAACTCAGCATAAAGTCTACTGTCATTATGGTTTTTTGGCCGTTGTTTATGGGCTCTCCACTATTTTTCTGTTTACAGGACACTGTTCATATCTTAGCCCATTTGAATTAACTTTGGTAGTAAGACTTTGAGAGACACAATAGTGGACTCAATTCACTACTGCATTAGCAGTTCTACCCCAATATAACGGCAGTGAAATCAAACAACATAACTCCATTGTGAAACTGGAGTAAAGCAGTGATTGCTCAAGACCAGTATTGCAGATAAGAGCATGCCATCACAAGCTGCAATATCTGTCTGTATTTTCTATCACTTTTCCAATATGCCCACTCACCATACTTGCTGTCTGCTTTGCTGCTGCACACCAGGCTTACCTCTTCTTTGGGTTGCCTATGTTGATTCATAGAGTTGAATCCTGGCCCTCCTAAAGAGAATGGTAAAACTCCCATTGATATCACTAGGTTCAGGATTTCAACTGTAATCTTCTTCCTGAGAAACACCGGCAGTTTTTGCCTCGTCAACATATAGGGGAAGTTTATTACTTTTTCCAATGTACATTGTATCTAGCACTTATTCAGCATTCCTTGGGATGTCACATAATCAATTCCCTGCCATTGCAGGGGCCTCAAGCATTGATTCACATCAATCCCTTTGATTTTCTGACTGTGGTACATAAGAGTTAAGTGTCCTGAGAGTTGTAATCTTTTGGTCTAATTTCAATAGTTAAGTTTAGTGCGCAAATGCTGGGTGATATTAGTGGCCTGTGATATACAGGAGTTCAGACTAGAATCTCTGGTGGTCCCTTCTGGCCTGGAATGCTATGATTCTATGTCCAGCCCCTCCAAAACTTTTAAATTCACTTGTACTTTTCACCCACATCTTCAGGGTTTTTTTTAGCAAAAACAAATTTCATATAATCGGCAAACTTCAACTATTTACTTTTCATGTTAAAATAAAAAGAGGACTAAAATAAAACAGCATGATCTATGTTAGCTTCATCCGGGGCTCACTTGTGTCTCCCACACTTGAACTCTTATATTTCAAAACTAAAAGGAAAATAATGAATACAGCTGACAGCTTAGGTATTTTATAATGCAGTGGTTGCCAAACTTGTTCTGCCGCTTGTGCAGGGAAAGTCTCTGGTGGGCCGGGCCGGTTTGTTTACCTGCCGCGTCCGCAGGTTCGGCCGATTGCGGCTCCCAGTGGCCGCGGTTCGTTGCTCCAGGCCAATGGGAGCTGCTGGAGGTGGCAGCCAGTACGTCCCTCGGCCCGTGCCGCTTCCAGCAACTCCCATTGGCCTGGAACAGTGAACCGTGGCCACTGGGAGCCGCGATCGGCCGAACCTGCAGATGCGACAGGTAAACAAACCGGCCTGGCCCGCCAGGGGCTTTCTGCACAAGCAGCAGAACAAGTTTGGGAACCACTGTTGTAATGTAATGGACACAGAAGAGTGAGCACTCATTTCACAGCTAAAGCACACGTGAAGATTTTCATTCTCAACATGGATAGATATAAAATGCTGTCACCATCCAAGATGGCTTTCCAAAATAAGGATGGATTTGGATGTGTGTGTTACACAAAAATAAGGGATTGATTTGGAGCAACATTTCTGTATCAATATCATGGTAAATTTTTAAAAGGAGATCAGAAAGTACTATTTCATCTGACCGTCTCGAAAAGTTCCCTTTGTAGCAGATAAGGAATGGTGTCATTATAAAATGGAAAAGCTTGCTTGGCCAACCATGAGGTCAACAGTAGAATGGCATTTGCTAAAGCTTTGACCCAGATATGCTTCAAAAACTTTCAATGTCTTTATATTGACATAAAAAGAAAAGGAGTACTTGTGGCACCTTAGAGACTAACACATTTATTCGAGCATAAGCTTTCACGAGCTACTGCTCACTTCTTTGGATGCATACAGTGGAAAATATAGTGGGGAGATTTTATATACACAGAGAACATGAAACAATGGTTGTTACCATACAGGCTGTAACAAGAGTGATCAGGAAAGGTGAGCTATTACCAGCAGGAGAGCGGGGGGTGACGGGGATCTTTTGTAGTGATAATCAAGGTGGGCCATTTCCAGCAGTTTACAAGGACAGGAGGGGAAATAAACAAGGGGAAATAGTTTTACTTTGTGTAATGACCCATCCACTCCCAGTCTTTATTCAAGCCTAAGTTAATTGTATCCAGTTTGCAAATTAATTCCAATTCAGCAGCCTCTCGTTGGAGTCTGGTTTTGAAGTTTTTTTGTTGAAGAATTGTCACTTTTAGGTCTGTAATCGAGTGACCAGAGAGACTGAAGTGTTCTCCAACTGGTTTTTGAATGTTATAATTCTTGAAGTCTGATTTGTGTCCATTTATTCTTTTACGTGGAGACTGTCCAGTTTGACCAATGTACATGGCAGAGGGGCATTGCAGGCGCATGATGGCATATATCACATTGGTGGATGTGCAGGTGAACGAGCCTCTGATAGTGCGGCTGATGTGATTAGGCCCTATGATGGTGTCCCCTGAATAGATATGTGGACACAGTAGGCAATGGGCTTTGTTGCAAGGATAGGTTCCTGGGTTAGTGGTACTGTTGTGTGGTGTGTGGTTGCTGGTGAGTACTTGCTTCAGGTTGGGGGGCTGCCTGTAAGCAAGGACTGGCTTGTCTCCCAAGATCTGTGAGAGTGATGGGTCGTCCTTCAGGATAGGTCGTAGATCCTTGATGATGCATTGGAGAGGTTTTAGTTGGGGGCTGAAGGTGATGGCTAGTAATGCTACTCTTGAGAGGCAACAGATTTAATGTCCTATTATAAATTCTATATGAATGCCAAGTACCTCCATTCCTGATCATGTGTATATTGCTTGCTTTTGCAATTCATCTTGAGAAGTGGTCCTTTTAAAGTTTAAAAGACTCCTCTATATTTTTATGTCATTAGAATTTAGAATCAGAGAGTTTTGGGTCAAAACTTGACAAAGAAAAGCTTCTCTTCAACCAGACAAATAAATAGGTTAAAAAAAAAAAAAGATAATACAGTAAAGGTGACCTCCTATGGTGACAGAGGAGGGAGAATCTTGAAAAATGTATTGTTAGTGGGTTGCTCTGCTAAGGACCAATCATCAGAGAAAGAGCATAGGAAAGACCAGAAGCCACTCAGCTAATTAACTAAGCCAATCTGTTTAAGAAACTAAAACCTTCTGCTAAGCAGTTGCACTAAGAATGCCACAGTTACAAGCAAGTCATTTTTCCAGAGAATGTTTTCCAGTTCAGGACTAGCTAGCATTTATTTCAGAGACTGTCTTTGGCTCAGTTAACATATTATAAAATACACACACACTAGGGGCTCAATCCTGATCCCACTGAAATCAATAGAAAAAATCATCAGGACCTTCATATCCAAAGCAGCTTCATGTTAGCAGGCATAGAGAATAAGCTTGGGGAGGATGTACGTAATAGCTTGAAGCCTGTTATCCTGCTGTAATGCAACACTATTCCTTTTCTCTCATCTCTGACATTGTTTGCTCCAAAACGTAGGAAGTAATTAAGAAGGAAACTGTCTTTCATTTTCAGAAGAGTTATACGATGATGGCCATATAAAGGCGCGAGCAGATTACAGTTTGATACAAGTTCTGCTAGGTTATGGATTTTCAATGTCCGCTGTTACCCATATCAGCAAAACCAGGTCATTACAGCTTTCTGTGACATTCATAGCTAATTTAATGGCAGTCCTGATATAATATGTTATTTAAGTAATAGTCATTTTGCAATTGAAATCTCAGTTCAAATGGTGGCTGTAACAATCTATTTTTATTTCCAGAATGGTTTTTTTGACTTATTATTATGCTGCAAAGTCATGTACCCTTATCAATATGTATTTCATAAAGAGGCTTGGAAGGATTAGATTTTTATTGGTAAATGTAGCTAAAATGTGAAATTCACTATCCACACACAAACCAACAAATCATAATTGAAATTTACAGATCGGCAAAGTAATAAAAATGTTGCTTGATTTAAGGGTATTTGTTTTATTTATTTTAACAGTTACAGAGCTTTAACTTTTTGAATCTCAATATCTACTGTCATTAAAGGATGATTGTCCATACTACCCCAATTTCCTGCAACTGTGAAGATGTAAATCAATACAAATTGAAAAAAAATGCTTAAAAATAGACAGCAATAGATGTTGAAATGATAAAAAATAAAAATCAAATTCTGTCAAGCCTATTCCTAAAGCAATGATTGAAGTTAATTAAAAAACAAACCTATATCAAATGATCAAAAGGCAGAGGACATGCTATAATTGTACAGAAGCACTTGAGGTCTTTCATAATTACATTTTTTTTTAATAAAAGACAATTTTTTTAAACTTTTTCTGCTTTTTTTCACATAGAATGTTTCAAGTGTAAGACAAAACAAGTAGGCTCTTCAATGTAACATGAAAAGATTGAGACACTTCTGTGCCTGTGTGCCGAAGGGGTATTTGTGACACCTCAAAGCCTGATGTACATGCCAAAGTTGTCCAGAAATGTTTCATGTTTCGGTATGCTTGGAATCCCGTTTGGTGGCTTCCTTATAACTTACCTCTTTTTCATGAGTTAAAAAAACAAAGGAGAGAAAAACTGTGTCTCAGGGAATCTAATTTCCAGTACAAATTCTTTTTGTAATGTTTGGTAGGTACAGCTCTTATTTTACTTGTTTTGATTTTTGATGTAGCTTTACATGTATTTTTTGGTATTTAAATACAAAGGTTATACCATCTCAGAAGAAATTAACATATGCTTGAAATGATAAAGGCTCCATATCAGAAAAACCTTTTGATTTTGCTGGTCAGATTTTCCAGATGTACTACGGTTGATTCCTATTTTCTTCTCGAAAGACATGTGGAACAAGTGAGTGTGCTTGTTAGAATCCACACTATTACTGGCATTCTATCCTGAATAAATACTATTCCGACGCTGATAGGACATAAGATAAAAGTCAATAAAAAGAGAATTATTTATTAAAAAGGTCTAATGTTACAAGAACAGTACACAGGACCTATTATTTTTACTGTGTCTTTCACATAGTATATACCATTATATATAGTTTATATACAGATTGTATACAATATAGCTAAAATTTTGAGATGGGCCGTGACAGTAACGTTGTTTTGGGCTGCAAACAAAATTTCTTTGATTCATTTTTTCATTTTATTTTCAAAACAGCTCTTGCAGTGTTATACAAAAATACAGTCTTTTTAGTGACTGCCCTGTTACAAGCTCATTCAAGAAAAAAAAGAAAACTCTTTTCGCAGCTAAAAATTAATGTATCATGATAAGGAAACATTGCCTTCTGCAAAGTAACAAATATGTAATACATAGATACTTAAACATTTAAAACATGTTTATTAATATATTTAAGATGCAAAATACATATTCTGTTCCTGTTGACTATAAAACATATCCCCTTGTGTCCCTGCAGTACAATTACATGACCTGAAGGTGTGTTCCATATTTCCACCGCTATTTTGATGCTACTGATCCAGATATAAGTAGATGTACTTATATCTATTTATCCACACTAGACTTTGATACTTGTCATCAACCATATCCATTTAGTGTATTCAGAAATTTGTTTGACTAGAATGCCACCAATGGTGACAGTAACTTCTTTGATTATGAATACCCCTGATTGAACTGCACTGGTTCTGGTTTATTATTGATGCTGATTTTTCTTTAGAAACATAAGCCTGGTCATGCAAGCTCTCTTGCATAATGAAAATGCTTCTGTTTTGCAAACCATAGCACGTATTTGCTTTGTTACAACTTGCTCTATCAGCAATGGCAGAGAAGCCAATGTTCACTGCATGCAATCTATTCCATCCCCGCTTCTTTGACCACAAACTGTTATTTCAGAAGAAGTTGTTTAAGGAAGTCCTTTTCTTGTCTTTTATCTCAAAACTTTTGGTTCTCAGATACTTGTCTTATCGTTGCTCTCCTAGCAATATGGTGACTAAGAGTCTTTAAAACCTGGTTCTGGGGTGATCTGAATAGCATCTTTAAAATTCTCAGTGGGTATAAAGAAAATGATTCTAATGGCCTTTGAAAAAATACTTTTGTAAAATGTTCAGAAAGATAAAAAATGAAAATCTATCTTTCATCCAGTTTTGTACAACTTTTGAGTATCTGCTCTGCTATGGTGCTTCCCTGGCCGTTATTTTAAAGGTGTAAGAAATGGCACATTTGGAATGTGCTGACAAGCAAGCAAAGTGATAGAATTTTTGTTAGAGAACCCAGTGCCTTAATTAGATCTCTTTGAAAAGAGTTAGAGAATCAGCTATCCGAGTTATGCTACCAGGACTTTCCCAATAAAATGATTTGAGCACAACACACTTGATTACTGCAAACAAGGTAAAGGTCATACTGGGCACAGTCCCTACAAACACGGTAGTAAAAAGTCCCCTTGCTGAGAACATCACACACACCACACTGTACAAATGCACACACACTCCATATACACTAGGGGTCATTTTGGCTTAGGTGCTAGCATGAGGAAAGGCCTTTAGATCTAGAACGGGAACTCCTCCTAACTGATTACAGAATGGAGAAAAGACTGATACAGCAGAATAATGGCTGGGATTAAAGCTGTTAGCACACAGTCCCTATAAAACCAATCTCTATCTGGTGAGCTCTAGAAGAAGGTCCAGTAGCCTTGCCACCTGGAAACCTTGCTTGATAATTCTTATTTATCCAAGTGTCATTTGGGACACAACATTCCTCGAAGCACATTCTAATTGAACTCTGCATGTTTGCATGACTACAGTCCATGAAATATTACTCTCTCTCCATGATATGCATTCTTATATACTTCAGCTTTAGCTTAATTACCAAATATATAAAGTACAGTACCATACAAAAATGGACTAAAAAAATTAGTCTAAGACTGACAGGAAAAAAGCAGATTTGTCTCCTTGCATTCCTTTTATTTGCCCATTTAGCAACTACTGTATGTTATGATTAAATGCCCAGTGGTGGTTTAACTGCTATATGCACTGTTAATGAATTTAGACTATTTATTTTTCTATTCAAAATAAACATTTACTTCCTCTGCAGTTAAATTATACAATATTTGATGAAAAACAATAGCATTTATTTCCTTTTAAGTTTGTGTTCAGTCATTTCCAGTTTACCTTGCAATAAAATTAATGGCTTCTTCTCTGCTCTGTTCTCTTTCTCTGGGGGTGCTTTCAAAACATCAGATTGACAAATTTTGCTAATTCCATATGTATTCATACATTTTCCAGAAAATATTTCCTGTACTTTCCAGTGGGCATATAACTGAACTTTTTCTTCTCTCCTACTGCCTTGTCACTGTGAGCAGCCAGCCTTAGGGGAAGCAACAAAAGCACTAGCTTCAAAGTCCTTTTCAAACTTCACTCATTAAAAAAAAAATTCCAAACAAAACCAATGTACTCTACTAGACACCACTATTTAAACAACTAATGGTACACAACTGGGGATCACCAAATTTAAACATATTAAAAAAGTAAAGTACATTTGACAGAAATTACATTTGCTTACAAAAGTTTATTACATACAATCTGCATATTTTTGTTGGGCCAGTAAGTGTCCCCTCCCCAAAGAGAGGACATCTACAAAAACTGAAGAGAAAAACCTGATGAATCATTTATCATTTTTTCAACACTCCTCTAAGTGCACCATGTGTATTTCTATGGGTCTTTAGGCATTTGCTTAGGGTTCCAGCTTCTTCACGAACATAAAGCTCCATCCATTGGTGTTATCAAGCTAAAGCAAACAAACAATGAAAAAAAAAAAAGGTCTGCAGTCTTCACCATGAGGTGGAAGGGACCATCAGTGCCAAGAGCAATGTTACAGATGACGAGGACGTAGAGAGAGCATGTAAAGTGGATTGAGAGCTTGTAACTTTTCCACCTGAAATGAAAAACAAAAACAAACAGGGAACAAATGGAATAAACTGTTCTTTCCATATTTGTCAAGAACAAATCATGTCAAACCAACATAATAGCTTTCTTTGACAGGGTAACAAGCCTTGTGTATGGGGTGGGGGGGGAGTGGTAGATGTGGTATATCTTGACTTTAGTAAGGCTTTTGATACTGTCTCACATGACCTTCTCATAAACAAACTAGGGAAATAACCTAGATGGAGCTACTATAAGTTGGGTGCATGAGTGGTTGGAAAACCATTTCCAGAGAGTAGTTATCAGTGGTTTACAGTCAAGCTGGAAGGGCATAATGAGTGGGGTCCTGCAGGGATCAGTTCTAGGTCCAGTTCTGTTCAATATCTTCATCAATGATTTAGATAATGGCATAGAGAGTACACTTATAAAGTTTGCAGACAGTACCAAGCTGGGAGGGGTTGCAAGTGCTTTGGAGGATAGGATTAAGATTCAAAATTATCTGGACAAACTGGCGAAATGGTCAGAAGTAAATAGGATGAAATTCAATAAGGACAAATGCAAAGTACTCCACTTAGGAAGGAACAATCAGTTACATACATACAAAATGGGAAATGACTGCCTAGGAAGGAGAACTGCAGAAAGGGATCTGGGGTTCTTAGCTAAATATGAGTCAATAGTGTAACACTGTTGCAAAGAAAGCAAACATCATTCTGGGATGTATGAGCAGGCGTGTTGTAAGCAAGACACGAGAAGTAATTCTAATGTTCCTCTCCACGCTGATCAGGCTTCAGTTGGAGTACTGTGTCCAGTTCTGGGTGTCACATTTCAGAAAAGATGAGGACAAATTGGAGAAAGTCGAGAGAAGAGCAACAAAAATGATCAAAGCTCCAGAAAACATGACCTATGAGGGCAGACTGAAAAAACTGGGTTTGTTTGGAGAAGAGAAGACTGGGGTGGGGGACATAAAACTTTGTTGCATGGAGGAGGGAAACAATTGTTCTCTTTAACCTCTGAGGACAGGATAAGAAGCTTAAATTGCTGCAAGGGTGGTTAAGGTTGGATATTAGAAAAAACTTCCTAACTGTCAGAGTAGTTAAGCACTGGAATAAATTGCCTGTGGAGTATTTGGACTCTCCGTCATTGGAGATTTAGGTTAGACAAACACCTGTAAAGGGTGGTCTAGATAATACTTAGTCCTGCCTTGTGCCCTGTGTGGGACTGAACTAAAAGACCTCTCAAGGTCCCTTCCAGTCTTACTATTCCATGATTCTATTATTCTATTTAGAAGCTGTTTAGAAACAAAATGAGTAAAAATGAGATACAGGACCTTTCCCTTCATATGTACTGAATTTAAGAGAATCTGTAGTTCTGTGGAGTTAGAATCCTGATGTATGGCACCACTCATTTCATAATGGCCAGACAAGTATAAAGGAAAACAATACATTTCCAAGTTACCATTTCACCTACGGTTACCAAATGTTCATCCATAATTGTTACTGGACTCCTACCATTTGAGTGCCTTTATGTGCATATTAGGAGGAAAAAAATAAATTAGTTTCTTTTGTGAGTTGGTCACAGTAGCGATCAGTTTGGAGAAATGAATGTATTCTGATGACACTATTTCTGTTTATGGGATTTTACTGAAGAATATTTCCATAAATATATTTATCATGAGAATGATAGTAATAATTACATTAAAGTCCTGGTATGTGCTTCTGTCTAAGAGAGGATGGACCCAGATCCTCAGGTTATTTCAGTTGATGGAATTTCATTGCAATTTATACTAGCTGAGGATCTGGCTATAATAATTGTTCATGGCTAGTTGCCTTTTAAACTAGGGACTGTTTGTTCCCAAGAAAATGTGACAATATTGGTGGAAAAGTGTTGGTATAAAGTGCTCAGTGATCTCATTCCTCACACTGTCACCAGTTTTCAACAGGAACACTGTAGACATGTTTCTGCTCTGAGTTTCACCAGTGTGAATCAGGAGGAATTCCACTGAAGCCATAGAGCTTTCATAAATGTGTGAGAACAACACAAGGTCCTATATTCTTGTGAGACTAATATAACCCACCAGTTTTATACTATTTTAAGATATGGTAAAATTACTTTATTCTATTTTTTTACTATGCATGAAAAATTGCAAGTGGTTTTACTAAGAGGCTGCAAATTTGTGAATGAGGAAGGGATCACAGTTTAAGTTAATATACATTTCTTTGCATATCAGAGTCCAAGCTCTTTGACTACAATACTAAATTGAAATAATGTCACAACATGACAAAAACTGGAGCTCACTGGTGAGCGTACCAGGGTCTGCCAGCCATATTTGCTCAAAAAGCCAACTCCTATAATATATTTTCAGGTATATTTTCATTCTGCTCTTTGTGATGAAGAGGCTGGAAGTCAGATTTCTCTTGCCAAGGAGCCCCTAACCTCTTCAAAATATCGACTAATACACAAATGTTGTCCATCTTGACGTCTTCTTAAATCTTTTCCTACTCCCTAACAGACAGCTGTTTTTTTTCTTCCTCAGATAAGTCTCCCTTTTCCTCATACCAACTGGAACTTTGCCTTTATCTTGCACCTGAGAAGCAGGCAGTCCTCAGGTGATGCCATTTTAGATTTAGTATTGGTAAGTAGCGAGGACCGCACAGAAAAACTGGTTATAGAGAACAGTCTTGGATTGAGTGATCATGAGTTAATTCAGTTTAAACTAAATGGAAGAATAAACAAAAATAGGTCTGCAACTAGGGTTCTTGATTTTAAAATGGCAAACTTAAAACAATTAAGGGAATTAGGGAATTGACTGGACTGAAAAAACTCTAGGATATGAATGTGCAGGAGGTTTGGAATTACTTAAAGTCAAAGTTACAGAAATGATCTGAAGCCTGCATCCCAAGCAAGGGGAAAAAACTCACAAAGAAGAGTTGTAGACTAAACTGGATGACCCAGCATCTCAAACAGGTTATTAAGAAAAAGTTGACAGCCTACAACGAATGGAAGATGGGCGGGATCAGCAAGGAAAGCTACCTCTTGGAGGTCAGAAAGCGTAGGAATCAAGTAAGTACTGCCAAAAGCCAAGGAAAGCTGGACTTTGCAAAGGCATTTATAACCAATAGTAAAAGTTTCTTAGCCTTTTAAATAAAAGGAAAATAAGGAAAGAAGAAGTGGGACCACTAAGCACTGAGGATGGGTGGAAATTAAAAATAATCCTATGTATGGCTTAACCTCTAAATGAATACATTGCCTCAGTTTTAATAAGGGTAATCAGGAGCTTGGGGAAGTGGAATGGTGGTTAATGAGAAGAATATGATAGTAGAAATTACAACATCTAAGGTGGAAGCCAAACTCAAACAGCCTAATGGGATCAAATCAGAAGGCCTGATAATCTCCACCCAAGAATATTAAAGGAACTGGCACATGAAATTGCAAGCCCCATAGCAAGGATTTTTAATGAATTTGTAAACTCAAGGTTACATGCTATGACTGGAGAATTGTCAGTATTATCATTGTTCGCGTATCCTCTTGCAATGGGGAGACGTGTGCAGTGGAGTGTTTTGGAAAATTTTCTGAATATATATTTATACATGTTGCTATATGTTTATGCTCAAGAAGGCATAAAACTTTTTCACTAAGAGGGTGGTGAAACACTGGAATGCGTTACCTAGGGAGGTGGTAGAATCTCCTTCCTTAGAGGTTTTTAAGGTCAGGCTTGACAAAGCCCTGGCTGGGATGATTTAACTGGGAATTGGTCCTGCTTTGAGCAGGGGGTTGGACTAGATGACCTTCTGGGGTCCCTTCCAACCCTGATATTCTATGATTCTATGATTCTAAGGCAAGGTCAAAGAAATGGGACCTACACTTGGAGAGGAAGGTGGTGTAGTTAGTCATGGTCCTTAGTTCCTATAGGAGCACATTTCACAGCCATTTTATTAGTGCCACAGTCTTCATCCTGGAGCTTTCGGCAGTCTTTTACATATTCTGGACTCAGGCCATTGAGGTCTTTGAAGATAAGGACTAAAATCTTGAACTTGATTCAAAATTCTATAGGAAGCCACAGTAGAGAGCAAAGGACAGGCTTGATGTGTTTTCTGTAGCTGGTATTGCTGAGGAGATGTACCATAGCATTCAGCCCCAGTTGAAAGCTTTATGTCCAGAAATATCACGTTGCTGTCATCCAGCCATGAGGTAATGAAGACTTCAATAATTGAGGCCATTTCATTGCCTTCCAGGGTAGGATGGAGTGTCATAGCCCACCAGAGATGGTAGATGTTGCTCTGTGAGAGCTCAGTGTTAGTAAGGAATACAAGAGAACTCCTTAAATTGTGGACTGAATTGACCAGTTGTAGGTGGTACCATCAATCAAGGGAGTCAGCACTGTTGCTGCAAACTCTCCAAAATGCTTTCCTCTATCCACTATCATAACCCTTGTCTTGCTTGGGTTCAACTTCAATCAGCAGTTCTTCATCCATAAACTAATCTCATCCAAACACTGAGCCTTCTTGATGGTAGTGGTATGTGGTGTAGGACAGGAAGAGCTGTGTCTCATTTGCATACTGCTGGCATATGTAGTTGTCTGACCAATTAATCTAGTGTCTATATTTAGATGCTAAATAGGACCAGTGAGAGAACTGATCCTTTTGGGATTCCACAATTGAGGGGTCTATTTGTGAAGTTGCAGTTTTCCATCACTACTAGCTGGAGGCATCCCTCCAGTAATTATTCTAACCATTTTAGCATATTACTTTGGACCCCTGTCACCTCTGTCAGGTGAGACAGCAGTATCTCATGCCTGACAGTGTCAACACTGCAGAGAGGTCCAGGAGGATGAGAATGGATGTCTGTTCTCTATCCATTGACAGACATTCATTAATGCCACTAAAGCTGTTTTCATCCCATGTCCTGGCCTGAATCCATATTGTACCAGGTCCAGGACACTAGTTTCAATTAGATGAACCTGAAGCTGGCCTTTAGCTAGCTTATCTATGAGCTTGGTCAGGAACAGGAGGTTTGGTCCTGGGTAAAAGTTGGGTAGAACTGAAGCGTCCAGGGTGGGCTTCTTTGGTGTTGGTCGGATTATTGGGTGTTTGAAGGAGGAAGGGGAGACTCCATCCCTGAATGAGGCACAGATTATTTCAGTGAGACATGGCACTAGTTGCTCACAACTTTTTTACAAGTCAGGAAGGGCCTGGGTCAGATTCATAAGTCTTGGGTCGTGATTCCATTAGGGTGTGAAGAACGTTTTGATAAGTCAAAGTACTGAACTCCGTGAATGCAGGTGGGTGGGTGCAGGTGGAGTGGTCGGTGCAGATGGGGCAGATCCAGGTTATATGTGAAGCCTTCCTGAATGTGCATGAACTTTTCACTGAAGTGAGATGATAAGAACATAAGAACGGCCATACTGGGTCAGACCAAAGGTCTATCGAGCCCAGTATCCTGTCTTCTGACAGTGGCCAATGCCAGGTGTCCCAGAGGGAATGAACAGAACAGGTAATCATCAGGTGATCCATCCCGTCACCCATTCCCAGCGTCTGGCAAACAGACGAGGGACACCATCCTGGCCCATCCTGGCTAATATCCATTTATGGACCTATCCTCCATAAATTTATCTAGTTCTTTTTTGAACCCTGTTACAGTCTTGGCCTTCATTGTATCCTCTGGCAAAGAGTTACACAGGTTGACTGTGCACTGTGTGAAGAAATTCTTCCTTTTGTTTCTTTTAAGCCTGCTGCCTATTAATTTAATTTGGTGACCCCTAGTTTTTGTGTTATGAGGAGTAAATAACACTTTCTTATTTTCTTTCTCTACACCATTCATGATTTTATAGACCTCTATCATATTCTCCCTTAGTCATCTCTTTTCCAAGCTGAAAAATTCCTGTCTTATTAATCTCTATAGCTCTTCACAGTATTTGGTACTTGGTTCTGATACACTATCTCATACATACTATGTGACAGATTTATCTTCATGTGTAGGCTTCAATAGGGAAAATATATTTGTAGCCAATGTCCCCTTGTGAATACACTTAGTCAGGTCCGGCCTTAGGGAAAATGGTGCCCCAAGAGAACTTGTATTTTGGTGCCTTTGGACCCCACAGGTGCTCCAGTCCCCCATCGCCCCGACCCCTGCGGGCTCCCCCCAATCACCTGCTGCCTCTCCCCAGTGCTTAATTTGTACTGAAAGAGGCACAGGGGCTCAGCCTCAACACAAATTAAGCACTGGTTGGGTGGCTGGTGCTGGCTGGGCGCCCAGCTCTGAGTTTTGGGGTGTGTGTGTGTGTGAGAGTGTGTGTGTGTGTGTTGGGGGAATGTGTGCATGTGTGAGAGAGAGAGCATGTGTTGGGGAATGTGTGTATGTTAGGGAGAGAGTGTGTGTGTGTGTGTGAGAGAGAAAGAGCGTGTGTTGGGGGGAGAGTGTGTGTGCCTGAGTGAGTGTGACCGTGCGCTGTCTCTCTAAGAATACCATTCAGCGCCAACTCACAGGTGCCAGCACAGACATGCTCCCCCTGGCTCCCACCCCAGCTCAGCAGAGACCAGGTAGGGGGAGAGGGACACCTCAACATCAGCGGGCCCCCCTACTCCGCCTCCGGCACAGCAAACAGGGGGCTCAAGGTTCCGAGCTTGGCTAGGGATGGCTCCATGGGCTGAGGGTAGACGGGAGGCAGGATCAGCAGTGGCTGCAGATGGCAGTGGAGCAGGGCAGCGAGGGAGGAGGGGCACCCCCGCTTCAGAGGAGTTACCTAGCTGGTCCAGCTGCCACCCCTGAAGCTTGGTCTGTCCCTCCTCTCCAGATGCTGCCCTGGCTGTTGTTAGGACACATGGGTGGGCGTACCAACATAGTGCCCCCTTGAGTGCCATGCCCTGGGTGGCGGCCCAGCCTGCCCTACCCTAAGGCTGGCTTTGCACTTACTTAACAAGTACACACCCATAATCCTGTTTGGTCTTCTTAGTTGTATGTTCAATTACTCAGTAGCTCTGAAACAGAATCATTTAACCAATGACTTTATCTAATAACTATATTATCCATTGAAGTTAATATGTATTAATTAAGTGTAGTATGGTGTCATTTTAAGAATATGACAGGCCTGTATTCAAAATATAATCATGAACTTACCTGAAAAAGACGGTACCCTGATTTGGGAGCTGGCTGTCCCATCCCCTCCTTCACTGACTGCACAAACCTCTATGATATAGACACCAACATCAGGAAGAAGTACCACTGCAGAGGTTTTCTGTGTTTCAATTACTTGACTATTGCTGTGGCCTTCTTGCCTAAACAAGACCTATGGATGATACAGGAGCTTTAGAATCACTACAATAATCTTAGGTTAAATACTGGACTCTTTACTCAGGCAAAATTGCCATTGAAGGCAAAAAGTACTTTGTGTGAGAAAGGACTAGAGGAAGGACTGGAGGATTTGATGCTTCATCTTTAAATAGAGAACTTGGTCTTTCTTTTTCCTGAAGTTTTTTTTCAAAATACTGTCAAAGACAGACCCCAATTCAAAGTCCATTGAAATCAATGGAAAGACTCCATTCACTTGGAACGGCTGGCTATTGAAATATGAAGATTCAGTATTTGTCCTCCAGTTTGGAGTAAACACACAGACACTAACTGAAGTGAAAGCGAACTTCAAAAATATTTTTAGAGTAAAGTTAGATTCAGATACGTATCAAAAAATTCACATGGATATCCAGATCTTCTGGGTATCCAGCTTCAAACTGAATGAAGATACTCTGAAGTAGAGCCTCATCAGGTGTAAACCAGCCAACTAGCTGAACTGAGGATTTGGCCCCCCCTTGTAAAACTCAGTGCACCCTTGTCTTGGTTCAGTGAGCAATACAAGTGCATACGTAGCTGTCGTTGCAGCATTTCAGTATGTAGACTTCTATTCCCAGACAAAACTGGCAAGGTTAGAGAAAATGTAAAGAAGTTACCTGAACTTTTTTTGAACCTCAAACATTTTGATAAAGGTTAAGGTAGTTTCTACTTGATCCAAACCAATTTACACTTTCCTGATACTATATTTGCAGTGATACAGAGAATACCAGGCACTTTATTCTATAGGTATAATTATGTATGTATACATGCATATATGTATGTTTCAAAATATAATTATAAAGAAGAATACACACACATACACATATATATAAATTTTTGTTTTGCTTTAAAAGACTGTACTGGATTCCTATGATTTTCCCATTTTATATTATGTGTTACTTATGGCTCTTTTCAGCTTTCACTCTTTAAAACTTCAAAAACTTAAAATGCCAGATGTTACAGTCACAGATTGCTGAATACCACCAACATACTCATAACAACTCTCAATATTTGTACTTCTGCTCTAATTTTAATGCTATTGAAGATGCTTTATCCTTCTGCATTTCTCTAAATCCTATTGCAAACACAATTAAATTTAAGTGTTATCATTTATTTCACTGCAGGCTTGTCTTATTAATAGCCACTTCTGGACCAGATGTGATGGAGTAATCACCTCAGAAGGTGCATTCTCAGTTTATAATAAGCAGTTGACAATCACCATTTGGAAAATACAACGTAGAGAAGTACTGGGACATTTAGTTCTTTTCAATGCTTTTTATATATATATCTGGGTGGAACAAGTTTGCAGATGATCTATACAACATAGAAAGCAAGCAAGAAAGAAAAGAGTAATTTGGAAGATGCGTGAGAGAGGGCCAAGACTGACCTTGTATCCCATTACATCAGATTCATTTGCTAGAGGTCTAACTGGCTCCCATCCCAGAGACACATGAGAGCCATCTTGCATCCACATAATATTGGTTGGTGCCTGGCTGGGAGCTGAGCAAAAAGAAGAATAAAATGACACCATGCACTTAAACATACTTCTGCTTTTTTAAACTTTGGTGAGCATTTTAATCTTTTATTACATTTACGGTTGGCTGCATTCACAGATTCCTTCTCTAGCTGGAGTCTAATAAGGTGGTTTTCGCTCCAGGAGTGTCATTTTAATAGCTATGGTATAGAGCTTATTAACCTGAATCCTTTTATCTCTCTTCTGTCAAAAATGCTTAGCCTTGTTTTCCAGGAAGATAACATTTGTCTATTCTGAATGCAAATTTTGTCATGTCACTTTAAAATTCAGATATAAGCATAGAAGCATAGCCATGAATCAAAACTATATACCAGCTCTGCTTATTCTATACCCCAGCTAAAGAGAAATCCAGAGCGGGTAAGACTTTTTTCCACACACAGAAAAGAATCCAGGTCACTTACGGGATTTCTTAGTGGCTGCACGGACTGTGCTACTCGGTGGTCCATATCCCGCAGCATTGTACGCCCTCACTGTTAGGTGATATAATGTGTTTCCTTCTAATCCTGTCAAAATGATGGATGACTCATTTCCTTCAGTTTTGACTTTTTCTGCCGCTTCTTCCTGCTCCATATCTTTCCAGTAACCAACCTGCCAATGAGTGACCATTTGGAGGATTAATCTAGGCATTAGTGAAACTTCCTTTTTATTTGTTATTGCTTGCTTTTTTGGAAGCCACTCCTGTCATCAAATTAACAGGTCCTTTTAAACACGTGGGAATTCTAACCTCAGCTCACACATGAGTGGTGCTTGTCACACCTCTCCAGATGTCTACCGTCAGCATATCACATTATTACTCACAGCATCATTGAAATGCAACGCATCACATTCTGCCAGCATGAGATGTTGTGACTAGCTAGACACAACAGCAGAGAATAAGTGCTGACAGAATAAGAACTTAAAAGAATTCAAGGAGAACTCACCTCTCATAGGTTTCAGAGTAACAGCCGTGTTAGTCTGTATTCGCAAAAAGAAAAGGAGTAATTGTGGCACCTTAGAGACTAACCAATTTATTTGAGCATAAGCTTTCGTGAGCTACAGCATCCGACGAAGTGAGCTGTAGCTCACGAAAGCTTATGCTCAAATAAATTGGTTAGTCTCTAAGGTGCCACAAGTACTCCTTTTCTTTTCACCTCTCATAGGTCATCAAAAACATTTACCATACAACCTGGGAAAGCTTTACTGAATCATTTGAAGAAATGGCACAATGGCCATGCATAATGCCCAGCCACAAGATCTGTGTCAATGTAATGAATAAGAGATGACAGAACACCTAAGAAAATCTTGTAGTGGGTTAATCTTATAGAAATAGCATTGCTGTGGGAGGGAAAGGAGAGAAGGGGATTCAGTTTTAATTACTCAGATAGCAGCAGGTTTCTGTCAAATGTAATTTAGAAAGCATGCCTCTGCCACTCCTTTCCACACACAAAAGCTAAAGCTACCTTTGGTGGATCCAAGTCCATGACTGTCGATAGCTGCACTGAGCTTGTCATATTCTCTAAAAGATTATACTACTCATAAACATTCTGAATATCGCCTTCCCTTCAGACTCAGGTATCTAATATTTATCAGACATCATAATAAAAAAGAAACCCTTTTTCCTATAGGTCTATCAATGGCATCCAACTCAGACAGCCGTGAGATTACATCATTCTCCAGGATTCAGGTGTCCCCTCAACAGAAGCTATTACTAAACAACTATTTGAATGGTTTATATTTAGCAGACCACTATTCATGCATCATACCGCTATCTCTGCATCATTCCTCTATCCATTGCATTTATTCCACCTTTTTACCTTTCCCTAAGGTTAGTTGTTTCAGAATAAGTTACTCATATTTCTCTAGACAAGATTTCCTCTGAGAAAAGGTCAGGGGATAATACTGTGCTCTTGGGAAAGTGTCCAAGATAATAGCAAACCAAAGAAATCCAGAGGTTCATAGGAAACATAAAACATAAAGTACAAGCCCACAGAGCAACCCTAGCTGTAGTGACCAGTGGTTGGTATAATGGACCTGAGTCACCAGTGAACTACTCCAATTTTATCCTGGAGTAATACCACTGACAACCATTGGAGAAAGGCAATGGTTAATCAGGTCCAGTGTGCCATGGAAGAATCAATCAGTCATGAGACAGTTGTCCACTCCATGGGCCTGAATTTCCACAATGCTTTGCCCCTTGTGCAATCATTTACATTATGTACTTAATCATATTACAGTATCACATATTGATTGAGGCCACACTGTGTTAGGCACTGTACACTGTAGAGATGGTCCTCGCATTGAAGAACTTACTTTCTAAACAGGCAAGGACTGACAAAATATGGGAGGAGAAACAAACTCAGTAAGGAAAAGTGAGTTGTCCAAGGTCACAGGTCCATGACAGAGCTGGGAGTAGAACCCAGTGGTGACATTCTGGCCTCACTGAAGTCCATGCCAAAGCTCCCATTGATTTCAGTAGGGCCAGGATTTCATATCAGGTCTCTAGAGTCCTGTTCTAGTGCTATGTCCACTAGACCGTGCTGCTTCTCAAGTGACTATAAAGATAAATTTACTCTGAAATTCTGATTTTGCAGCATTTTACACCCTCTTTACACATATGAAGACTGAAGGCTGTGGGGAATCAGGCCTGATGTTTGCATGGTGACTAACAGAAACAACCACATGTTATAGATTAGCTATTTGCTAGGGAGTTTCTACCACATTACACATGAGTAGGTACGATGGATGAGTGAATTTTGAAACCACAGGAACATAGTAGCAATCAACCCTTTTGAGGTTCATATTCTCTTAGGAACTGACTTTCTGCCAATGTCTATCAGGTGTTGTCAGTGGCATTCTCAAGCTAGGTTCATGTTCCTACATCAGGAAGAGCAAACACCATACAGGGGATAGGCATGGGTGGCGTGTAATGGAGGCTGGAGGAGGCTAAGCCTCCCCAAATCTCTGCTAATGCTCCCCACCATGGCCTCAGGGCTAGGCCATGGCAAGGCTCAAAGATCCACCTGGGCGGTCAGGGCTCGGGCAGACATTCCAGGGCTCAGGGCGGCTCGGGCAGGCTGTGGGGAGCTTGGGGCTCCTCTGGCCCTGGCAGGCGAGTGTGGGGTGGGGGACAGAGTGTGGGGGGCTCAGGTGGAAGAGGCAGGGCCTCGGGCAGAAGGGCGGGGCAGAGCCTAGCCTTCCTGAACTGGGGGGGTCACATGATGCCCATGCCCATTTCCTCTGGACAACTAATTTCAAAAATGGCCTCCATACTACTTGACTTCTTCCAGGGCGGCAGACTGCCTGCAACTCTGCCTTTTTGCTTCTTTGAAGATAGTAGGCACATGGCCCTTCAGTTAAACACAAGCACAGAGTAGGAAGAGAACACACACCCTGCCAATTCTGCTGCACCACAAAGCACAGGCAGGAAACCTAAAGAAAAACGCAGATACTGCATAAAACCACACAGCAAAAGTCTGAACTGTGGCTACATAATTAATGACTGCATTCTGGTTTCAAATGCAAAGTCCCTGAAACAAATTATTCCCTGTTTTAAAATCCCCTTATTATGTCTTCTGGGTAGTTTACACTTGGATCTTAAAATATGGCTATGACTTTCTCTTTGTCTTTTCATACTCCCAGCCATCCATACCTTTTGTAATTGAGAAGAACAACTAGTTTTACCAAAAGGAAACTCAAATGGATTGCTGAGAAAGGTCAGTGCCTGTGGAGCTTGTGTTGATCTGAACCCAGAAGATGTCACTGCAGACAATTAAAAAGTGTTGGATATAGTTGTAAATTGTGAGAGGAGCTGTTTTTATTAGTTACTTAAGCTACTCGAGTTCTTGTTGATGCTGACAATCCCACTTCCACTGATTACTTTTACAAACTTGTTTTTTTTTTTTTTCCTGCTAGGGTAAGTATGTATTTTCCTATAAAATTAACCATAGCCCCCAACATTTTTGTAATGACTCCTTATCTTTTGAGTCAGCAGTATTATCAATGGCTTGTATTCACTGTGGATCAATCAGTAATTCTGACTGGTCAGTTTTTCTCCTTGAAACGTTAACTCTTGCACTCTAAACGTACATTTTTTTTGTTATGTTTCAGTTGTCCTTCTTTTGCAATAGATAATTCTTTAGTTAATCTTATATCATCCTTCTCTAAAATTGTTACCTATACTAGTATATCATCTACATACACTTGAGTGGCATCTATATTTTTAAAAGGATTTTGTACTGCTCTATGAAAAACCTCTGGAGTTGAACATAATACAAAAGGTAATCTTTTAAAACAATAATGTCCAAAATGTGTGTTAAACGTACATAGCAATAGACTGTCTTGCTCCAATTATATTTGCCAAAATCCATCTGAAGCATCTAAAGAAGAAAAGTGATTTGCTCCTGACATGTATCCATATATTTCTTCCCTGGTCGGCACATTAAAATGTTCCCTTTTAACATAAGAGAGACAAGATAGGTGGGGTAATATCTTTTATTGGACCAACTTCTGTTGGTGAGAAAGACAAGCTTTCAAGCTCACACAGAACTCTTCTTCAGGTCTGGAAAATGTAGTCAGACTGTCACAACTAAATACAAGAACAACAAGGAGTCCGGTGGCACCTTAAAGACTAACAGATTTATTTAGGCATAAGTTTTCGTGGGTAAAAACCCCACTTCTTCAGATGCATGGATTGAAAATTACGAATACAGGCATAAATATATATTGGCACACGAAGATAAGGGAGTAACCTTACATGTGGATAACCAGTGTTGAAGGCCAATATAGTCAGGGTGGAGGTTGTCCACTCCCAATAATTTATGAGGAGGTGTCAATACCAATAGAGGGAAAATTTCTTTTGTAGTGAGCCAGCCACTCCCAAGTCCCTATTCAATCCCAAATTGATGGTGTTAAGTTTGCAAATGAATTGTAGCTCTCCAGTTTCTCTTTGAAGTCTGTTTTTGAAGTTTTTTTGTTGAAGAATGGCTACTTTTAAATCTGTTATTGAGTGTCCAGGGAGATTGAAGTGTTCTCCTACTGGCTTTTGTGTGTTACCATTCCAGATGTCTGATTTGTGTCCATTTATCCTTTTACGTAGAGACCGTTTGGTTTGGCCAACAGACATGGCAGAGGGGCATTGCTGGCACATGATGGCATATATGGTAACATACAAAAGCCAGTAGGAGAACACATCAGTTTTGTATGTTCAATTTTGTATGTTACCATTCCGGATGTCTGATGTCTCACGGACCTTGGGAGGCAGGCCAATCCTCACTTACAGACAGCCGCCCAACCCGAAGCAAATACTCACCAGCAACTACACACCACACCACAGAAACACTAACCCAGGAACAATCACTGTAACAAACCCTGTTGCTTTCTCTGTCCCCATATCTACTATAGCGGCACCATTGTAGGACCTAACCACATCAGCCGCACCATCAGGGGCTCATTCACCTGCACATCTACTCGTGATATATGCCATCATGTGCCAGCAATGCCCCTCTGCCATGACGCTGGCCAAACCAGACAGTCTCTATGTAAAAGAATAAATGGGCACAAATCAGACGACAGGAATGGTAACACACAAAAGCCAGTAGGAGAACACTTCA